ACCGCTCCAACCCTCCCCACACCGCCAGCACCAGCCCCATCCCCACTGCTCCAGAATCCAGGCTGGTTCTGCCTCATCCTTGCTGGTCCGTCCACTCCCGCCAGCCAAAGACCCAGCACCCTTCTGTTGCCCAATGCTTTGCTGCTGCCGCCTCCACACCATTGCAACCCTGTCTGCACCGCTGCTACCACCCATGCCAGCCCCTCGACACTCGCACCCTCCTCGTATTCCCACTGCGTCTGTCCTCTCCTTCCTGCGCACGCCCTATCTCTGGATTCCCACTGCCCCCATTTAATACTTGAGACATCCGCTCCCCATCATTGCTTTTCGCGAACCCTTTGGCGCCGACTCAGCCCCCGTCACCACCAATCACTAACCAATGGTCCCTCCAAAAGCTGCACCCTGTAACTGTGACAATATGAAAATTTTGAATGTATAAAACCATTTATACATATTCATTGAATACATATAAACTCATCCTCCACCACATAAATTTACAATACTCTTAGATTGTAATTAATACATTATTATTATTATTATTATTATTATTATTATTATTATTATTATTATATAATGATCTTTCCTTTATTTGATTGCTTTCTTGGTTGATTACTTGATTTGTAATAATGGATTTCATGACATAAAACTAAAATCGTTTATTTTTGTGAAATCTTGAGTTGTTGTTATTAGTCGACAAAATATAGTGAACGTATTAGATATTAATTTTCACATATGCAACCAAAGGTCTCTGAAGAAACTCTAAAGAAACGTGGGTATCCGAGATTTCAAATTATCCGTCTGTAGTCTTATCGTCTGAAATTCAGAAAATACGTATTTGTAATATTGCAACTAGAAGAGCATGAATACATTTACTACAGTTCACTTAATCAATTTGTTTTATTATTACATTAGAATTTTTTTTATAATTTTAGAAATTTTGTGAATGTCAATTGTGTATTAGCACAAGATTTTATATGAAATTTCATTTTAGAATCAGAAAAAATGTCTTCATTAATAAATGATCCCTCGGAATAATCACTATGCTTTGAGTGTTTTCTATGAATTTTCGCAATATTCCGCAACTATTCTTTATTTCCCTTCAGAAACATCCCATGTACTGAATTTATACTATGTATGTTATTAATTTATTTCAAGCATATGTGTAGGTATAATTGTGCTCAGAGAAGTCTTTGCAAAGCCAGAAAAGCATTTTAAGGCCAACTTGAAACATTCAGACTTAAATGCATTTCGTCGCTTTTGGAAGGAGAACTGGCGCAGGAAAGCGCTGTACTTTTACTCTCAAGGTAAAAAAACGCCACAGCTATCTAAGGGAGATCAACAGGTAACAGTCGGCTAGGAGAAATCTCGTAAAGCGCGGGGAAGAGCTTGGATGAAAATTATTCGTAGTAGGCGGCGTTGACGACGAGTAGCCAGAACCGAGAGAGCCTTAACTCATTGTAACGGGGGGTGAAAGCGAACCCAAGTCCCGTCATCTAAAAATAAGAAAGTTCACGAAAAGGAAGTAGCATACCTTCCGCGCGAGAGCGGGAAAGAAGTAGTCTGTTCCTCCACCGGTAGCGTCCCTCCAGAAGGTACGCGGCGAGCTGGGCTCGCGTGCTCAAGCTGCGGAATGAAATTGCAGGGGCGTCCCGCAAAAAAAACCGACGGGAAGGACGAGGAAGACAATATGAGAAAGTGAGGGGAAGTGCTACCTCACGGAGGAAGGGAAGCGCGTTGGAAAGTGGAGGCGCTACGAATCTGTATCCGAGAAAATTGCACCGCGTTTTTTTTCCTTCGTCTTCTTCGCGTTGTCTGTGTCTGTGCAGAACACTTTATGGGTGTAGCCAGGTGCGGCAGACGTCACACGTGAGAAATGGGCTTTGCAGATGAGCGCATCGTCGATGCAAAGTGCCTCGGTCTGTGGAAGCGTTTGTGGAAAGGGGTTGGGACAATGCAGCATAATTTGGTCACGAAATTTTGAATTGCTTGATGACACGCTTCAGTATAAAATTATCATTTGTAATGTTTTAAACTGCCTTTTTGGTGGAATTGTATTCTAGAGCCTGCGCTGGAGAATGTAGAAATAGTTTTTAATTCGTTGGAGAGTGACAATGCCATGTCTAGGTTGACAGACCGTGACAAGACGTTGTGACACATGACGAGACTTTGCGTGACACATGAAAATAACGAGGTTATAATGCTGTCTGCGCCGTCCTAGAGTGTATAGTATCACGTGTCGTGCCTAAAGTAGCAGAGGTTTTTCTTCTCTGAGAAATTGTGACGTTGGGAGTGGCTTTAGCGAAAATGTTAGATTTCTCATTTCTTTATTGTTCTTAAATATCACTATTCGTGAAAAATAATGATAATTGCGGATTCCTAGTTTCCATGGTTTCGTGTTTACGTACTTTCAGTTTTGAGGGTTATAATGGCATATGTAGTACATACTGAGCAATGCGATTTTTTTGTATTATTGTTCTGTTAAATGTCTGATTAATGTTTCGAAACTAAGTGAAGAGATGGAGAAGGAATTGAGAGCAATACTTATTCTCTGGCCGTTTCATATAGCGTCATGACGTAAAAACGATTGCAGTAAAGCATACATATTAATACATATCGTTTGAAAATATGTACTAGTCTGTGGTATAATGTATCAATTTCTATAACATAATTTAGTATAATTAAGGTTTCGAAACTGAGCGGAGCGATGGAGAAGGGATTAAAAGTCATATTTATTCTCTGGCCGTTTCTATTAGCGTCATGACGAAAAAACCACTATAGTATTGCATACATATTAATATATATCATTTGAAAATATGTACTAGTCAGTGGTATAATGTATCAATTTCTGATAACATGATTTAGTACAATTAAGGTTTCGAAACTGAGCAGAGAGATGGAGAAGGGATAAAAGCCATACTTCTTCCCTGGCCGTTTGCACTTCCCTAGTTTCACCCCACGCCGCTGCTTCGCCTCGTGGGTGAGCGACCTCCGAAAGGCGTCGCAGACACAGAGGCGGCTCGTTTCCGAAGACGGGACGC